ACGATGAGGGATCTAGCCCCAAATGATGTACTCTTAACCACAGCACACACTTTATGGCCAGAGAAGGGTGTGGCCCTCCCTATGCTGGGAATCAGTATATCCTAAGCCCTGTTTATAGAAACGCATTTTGCCTATTCATGGGGTTGCAGGAAGGTCATTATGATGGGAGATTTCTCTGGAAATGAGAGTACAAAATGTGAGGCCGGAAAGGATCTCAGAGAACCTTGTTTGTTTTCCATGCTAATGCACTTAGAATTTGGCTTGAGAACGAGGGTGGTGGGGTGTCACTGGGCAAAGGAGTACACATTTGCATTTAGAACAGTTATTTTGAGGACTGTGGGAAATGCATCGGCATTGGCATGGAACAGTATGGAAGATAGAGGCAGGGAGCCAATGTGGAGGTCTGGCAATGCTTCAAGGGATAAGGGTGAGGGTATAATTCACTCAGTCAGAAGACTTTGGGTTTAGAAACTATTGGATAGGTTATCTTAAGAAGAATTCTCTGTGACTAAAGAAACAGAGGACTCCAACTTGAGTCAAACTATGGGTCAAACTCTGATTGACTAGTAAATAACCGTAAAATATTTCAGGGAGGTGAAGATTGGGAAATACAGGTATATAATTTGGGGACATTATTAATTTTTCACAGATTGTAGTAACTCCCACTGGCATGCCTAACAGACCATTGATTAAAATCTACAGTTTAGAAGAAAGGTGGGGTCTGGCTGAGTAAGACAAGGTGCTGATTGTTAAAACTATTGGAATAAGGGGGAATACTTGGCAAGAGGTTGCTGTCCATGAAACCTTTATGTCTTAGTTGTTGTTCTATTGCCATGATGAGACACCATGACTAAGGCAGGTTATTTTTAAAAAGCCTTTAGTTGCTTACAATTCCAGGGGATGAATCCATGGCTGCTGTGATGGGGAACATGATGGCAGCATGCAGACATGGCTCTGGAGCCGTAGCTGAGGGCTTGCATGTTGACACCAGGAGGTGGAAAGAGAGACTCAACTAAAATGGTTTGGGTTTTTGAAACGTCAAAGCTCATCCCCAGGGACACATCTCCAATAAGGCCACACCTTCTAATCCTTCCCAAACAGTTCCACCAACTAGGGACCAAGCTTTCAAGCATAGGAACCTATGGATCCATTCTCGTTAAAAACCACCACACATTAGGAACATGAATGTGCCAAAGGCTGGATTTTAAAAGGTAGGGGCAAGGTGGAGGAAATTTCTAATCAACAGGATTGCTAGGGTGGAGGAACAAAGTAAGAAAAGAAAATGAGGAACTGCTCTCTGGCTCGAGTATTAATAGGGAAGTCAAGACAAAGTGAACTGTGTGAACTAGATTGTTCATATGATGTCATTGGTGATTTGAGCAAGAGCTGTAGCGATGGTAGATGAATAGGACATAGAGTGGAGTACTGTTGACACAGAGTTTGGGAGTGCACTGAGGTCAAGATATGCACAGAGATCATTATCTTAGGACGCTGGGAAATAGAGGCGAGTGTGTGGGACTAGTTAAATTTGATGTATATACAATTATTAAAAGATGACTTAAAAAACAAACATTCCCTAATGGAATTATGGGATGTGGAGGCTGGCGGCTTGAGTCCTCTAGATGAGAGACTATGAGAGACTAGAGTCAGCAATTGAAACAAGCTCAGAGTCAAGGAATTCATTTCTGGAAGGGAGGGGAAAAAATCTATGGATAATTGAGGCTGCAGGTAAGTTTATGTGGGCTGTATTCTGAGCTTCTGGCTTCTCAGAAAGACTCAATTTGAATTAGGGAGGGAGAGACTGCTGGAGAGTACAGACTGAGAAGAGGTGAGCTGTTTAAGAGTCATTAAAAGGGAATAAATTTTACAAGGAATGTCTGGAAACATTAGGGGCCTTGATGAGCAGTGACTGTAGGACAGCCTCCTGTTCTCCAGTCGCTATGTAAATTTTCTTAGAAACCTGCAAGACTGGTTGATTTTCTGGCCTCCACAGCACTTAGTTCATACAAAAAGAGCCCCACTTGTGACCTTGTGTTGTATCATCTGCTTACACATCCCATAATGAGGATTCTTAGCGCCTCAAGATACGTAGCACTTTCCTTTTCCGTTGTCATATCCCCCACCCCGTCAGTGTTTCATCCAGGTTATTCTTAACAACAGCACATTGTTACAGCACGTTTACTGTACCATATGGACCAGACCTCTGCCACTGCACGGCTGTGCTCAGGACCGAGCTGGGAGGTTTCTGTTGATGCTGTGTTCATGAAAGTTGTGACATCTACTACTTTTGGCGTTTGATAAAAACTAATCCTCCCAGCGTATTTGATAATTTGCCTGTAACTCTGGCATCATTCTTGGTTAAGTTTCCCTACTCTGTGGAATAGACTGCTACAGCATATCTTATATATGTAAATTTTCTTATGTTCACTATTCATGGTCATTGACTCCCTGGGTTGCTAGTTTTTCCTCACTTTCCTATTCCATCAAGATGCAATGGGCAAAAGATAAAAGCCCATATCAGATGATGTTACTTAGTGTTTTTAATAGCATGTTTGTACATAAAGAATCTGCATTTAACATCTGGAGGAATGTTTTGGGCTACTCTTATTTACTAGTTATTAGTGTGAAGGTTGCCTTGGTTACCCAGGTCAAATTTACTTTTCCCTTTTATTGATAGCATTTATTCTGCATAAATGGCTTCAGCTATGAAATGTTTTTACTGCAAGAAGTAACACAATACACTTAGTACTCCGTGTGTTCCTTGAAATATATATAACAAGTTACAAACCTGTAGTCTGTTTCCTAGCCACCTCATTCTTACCTGGGGTCTTCTGGGGGAAGAAAATCTCACAGGATGCTGAGCCATTGACTGTGTCTTCTAGAGAAGAATAATTTTGAAATGACTCATATGAAAACAATTTTTAAACTTTGAAATGATTCATGCTGCTATAAAATGGACATACATCAGAGTTTTAATTTTAATCCTTAAAGAACAAATCAGAAAGTAGACAAAATTACATTTGAAGGCAAATTGGTAGAGCAGACGCATAGTCAAGCAAGAATGCTGGAACAATTTATTGATGGATATAAAATTGGTTAGTATCTTTAGTTTTTTTTTTTTAAGTGAGGTTGTTTGGAACTCTCTTCCAGGAGGTATAAATTGTTTTTAAAACAAAATTTTATATCAAGACAAATCTTCATAACCGTCAATTCCAATAGCTTACACAGTTGTAGATACCCAAGTCGAAGTCTGCGGAAGCAGAGCCCCTCTAGAATCTGATGATTGCAGAAGTTCCACTAGATAGTCCCCAGCACCCACGGACAGGACACCCTGGGAACTTTCTGTCCATTTCAAAATCTTCACAGATTTTTTTCTGACACTTGCCTTCCTTTGTTGTTGGGACCTCACCCTCTGCCCCAGTCTCTCTTCATTCAATATGGTTCCTTGCCCTCAATGGCTCTTTCTCCAGGGAAATAACTCAAAATTCCAAGGGTGTAGAAAACATAACTGGACAATCAGGTTTTGCCTGGGGCTTCCTAATATTTGGTGGCTAAGAATCTAGAGAACTGGGAAAGGTGAGCCGTGGATGCCCCAAGGCTGCTTCAAGTGGCACATTGCCAGGAACACTCAGAAGACCCAGCTCATCACAGAAGGCGCCACAGTGTCCAGTTTTACGTTATTGCCCTGTGTTTGTGTGGCATACTGTTGCTTAGGGAACATTTCTTAGAAGCCACCCATCATTTGCTCTGATCCTCCTTATTAAACCATGCTATAGAAAAATGAATTCCTTAAGACTACACTCCAGAGTGTGCCAAGCAGGCGGCTTGGGCTTGAGTTTTCTTGAACACAGTCCAAATTGTATTCTAGTGTATGTCTTTATATTTAACTCGACAGATATTTATTAATAATCACACTGTTACAATAACATCTTAAACCCTTGACTTTATTTCTAGTTTACACAGAAGGAGAAAGTATTAAAGATTAACAAAGTTAATGTTTTATATTCATTGGTACTTTGGGTCTTGAAAGAAAAGTCAGCAAGCTCCTTGGAGAAGAGCTTTGATAAATGGCCCAGTTGTGAAGTACAGCAGGAGTATCTCCACATCTTGTTGTTTGAGTTAAATGGTGACCCTTCCATTTACGCTAGTCACTCAGGCACCGAGGCAAGGCTGCTGCTGGCGCCTTATGCCGTTGAGAAGACCCGATGAGTATACTCTACTTGTTAGCAGCATCTGCTCCTGCTTTCTTCTTTCTGGGATTTTTGAGTAGTTTATGGTTTATTGGAGGAAGAAATACCTCTAATCTACATTTCAAAATTGTTCTGTAGATTCAATGAAATGTCGGGGTAGGAAAATGCCATTCAATTGTGTGTAATCCTTTCTGAGACTTGCATACAAAATGTCTATCGCTCTCTCTTTTGCAGTGGGAAATAGCCACTGAGAACATTTTTTTTTTCTCGTTAGTATTCTAAGACTTTCCATCCTCTTGGAAAGATAAGATTTGATTCATTCGAGTTGCTTTGTATATTAAAGTATAATAGAACTGGCCACTTTTTTTTTTTGGTTATGCAGCCTGAGTGTAGAGATAAATTTCATATCACTTTAGCAAGTTCCATCTAGAAGAAGTATATAGAAGTCAAGCCCAAATATAATACTTAGCTTTTTGTTCCGAATGTTCCCATGGTAAGGACAGTATTTTCCTACATATATCAGTAAGCAGATATGATGGTTTCAGAGCTTTCAAAGCAGATGTTATACCTTGCATTTTCCAACACAATTGGTGAATTTATCCCCAAGATGCATGGTGATGTATACCTTGTATTATTAAGACTGAATAAAGAAAACTTACAGTCTGCCAGCTGGTATACAAATAATTGTTGCTATTTTCACCTTGTTCTTATACTGCTTGTTTACATGAACACCTAAGATAATATATCATAGATTATATATGAACAATATATAGCAGATTATAATGAAATATTTTTGCGTCTGTTTTCCAGGTTCAGCTCAACTACTATTTAGAACAGTCAAATCTGCAGAATACACCAAGTGCAATGAAACTGTCGTCATCCCTTGCCACGTCACTAATGTGGAGCCACAAAGCACCGAAGAAATGTACGTGAAGTGGAAGTTAAACGAAACATATATTTTCATCTATGACGGAAGTAAAAACAACTTTACCGTAGAGGCCAACTTCAGCAGTGCGAAAATCTCAGTCTCAGACTTACTGAAAGGCGATGCCTCTTTGAAAATGAGTAGGACTCAGGCCGTCGTGGGAAACTACACGTGTGAAGTCACAGAATTATCCAGAGAAGGCAAAACAGTTATAGAGCTGAAACACCGTATGGGTAAGTGATGCAGTTTGCCTGTATGAAAACTGGTGTTGAAATATCATGGCCACTGTGGGAGTGCTTTGAGGTGGGACCTTGTGGAAGTCACTACAAGAGATTAGGACGTCACTACGGGAGATTCCCCAGAGAAAGCAAGCATGGCAGTCTTGGTTTTTTCTCTTTGACATATACACACTCTTCATCCTGCCCTTCCACTGCATTGTGAGGCATCACAAAGACTCTTACCAGAGGCTGGGTGGTGCCAATGCTGGGGTGGGTGGAGCTTCTCAGTCCCAGTACTAGGAAGCAAATTTAGCTGCTTATAGATCACCTACTCCCAGTACGGTTACAGCATGAGAAAACAGACTGAGTAACAGAGTAGGACCTATCAAAAGGCCTCCTGTATCCTGATGAAACTGACCCTATTAGAAAGAGAGCACAATAGTGACCAGGTGGCTTGGCTCACATCTATTAGCCCCGTCACGCAGGAGCAAGACCAGCCTCAGCTATATAACAAGTTGGAGGCCAGCCTGGGCAACAGGAGACCGCTCTTCAAAAGCAACGGAAAGTGGGGGAGGAAAGAAGAAAAGTGAAGTAGAAATTCCTTTGAACCAAAAGAGAGCTGACCATTAATAAATGCGGACATACTGGTTGGTGACTTCCAGGAGTTCTGTCTTGCCTACTTCTGTCTTGCCTACTTTTGCTTTCCCTTCTCTTGAATGTTGTGTGGCTCCCCCTCTTGGTCATGGGACTTTTCTATTGAGGTAATATAATAGGTGGTTCTGTTTGTTCTCATCAGATGTGCTTCACCTGTGTGGTGGCCCAAGGCTGATCAGCACTAGAGAGACTGAGGAGGATCGCAGCAAATTAGGCCAGCCTCTACTACATAGTTAGTTTCAGACAACCCAGAGCTCCAGGGCATGGCCCCCACATCATCAAACCAAAATAAACTTGCAAAAAAAAATGTACTTTTTAAAAATTATTCAATTAATTTGTGTAGTTCCTCCTGGTTATTTCATCTTTTTGTGGTCTTATAGACTCCAACTCTAGCCACGGAGCAGACTGTTCTAACCACACTACCCCGGCAGGGGACAAGAAGGAGAAAGGAGGTTGCACATTAGGTAATCATGCTGATTCCCGAGGGCTTCTGTGGCCAGCCTTGCTCCACTTGCCAGCACACTGGGGAAATGGGGATCCACCCTACCCGAATTGAATTCAGGCTTGGTGACAGCCATGAAAAGAGTCTCTTTTCATGAATGAGTTGGTGAGTTGTGGACAGCACCGCTGTTATCTGAAGTAAACACTTTGTTTTCTAGTTTCTGCTGTGCTGGTTGATTTTTTTTTTTTCTTAATACATACAGAGAATCCTAACAGTTTTTAAAGAGTACATCTTGAGCGCTATTTAAACCACCAGATGTACTACTGATCTCAGGGTTGATGGCACTTTGAGAACCAGCTCTGGGTGGGATCAGCACGGCTGAATTAGGTCAGCTGCTTTCCATCTGTTCTCTCTTTCAAAATGACAAAATGTCTGGTAGCAGACGGGAGGGGGAAGGTGGCTTGATTAAATATTCTGACGTAGGATTAGCGATTACTCTAATCAGGCAGTCTGAGTTACCTTATTCAGGACTCACTGTTCACCTGTGTCTTCATGGAAGGTACTTCACTGAGACCAAGCTGCATATCTCTAAAACGAGGATGGAAATCTTATTTCCTTGCGGGGGTTTATTCTGTGTGTTTTCATCAAATGTCCCTGGAAGTCTGCTGAGAAAGGAAGGAATGGCTTAGGAGGCAAGGAGAATTTAAAAGGTCTTTCTGTCAGAATTTCACATATACCGTTCCTTTGTGATTGATGTTAATTTGGGTTAAAGAGCTCTCTCTTTAAATATCTGTCTTTCAGGGCAGTCTAGTCAGTGTGCAGTGTGCACAGGAAGAGACACAGGAAGAGGCCATCCAGTACCTAGTCGGAGGTTTTCTGAGAAAGTGGATAGGTTCATGGGAGTAAAGGGCCAGACAGACATAGGAGCAGTGACTTGCAAGGTAATGTGGGTCACTGAGAAGAAAATTGATAAAACCTCTGAGTTTGAGAGTGAAAAAGCCGGAAATGGAATAGAGGTGAGTAGGAAGGGCATCCCAGAGTCTGGGATGGAGGCAGATTATTTCGCATGTCATTGTCTTATCCTGTCTTCAAATACCCCCAGAGAACTAAGAGACAGGCTTTGTTTTGTGCCATAAGATGAGAAAATTTTGTTGTAGGGAAATTTTACCAGAAACTTGAAGTTTCTGACTTTTTCCCCATTTAAAAAATATTTGTGTGTATATATTTAATAACTATATAACATAATATATAACATATATTTAATAACTAGCATTGCATGAATCAGAGACAGAGAATTCTGTGTATCCCCAATTCAGTCTTTCCCAGTGGTTGTATCCCATGTAGCTGTGCCGTGGTATCAGAACCAGGAAGTCCACAGTTGTCCTGTGTACAGGAGGCTCTCTGTCATTCTGTTACACTTGGCTAACCACTGTTGTGATGGCCATTCAGAGCTGTTCTGTCAGCACAGCATCCCAAGGCTAACCCTTCACTCACTCACCAGACTTTCAGGTACTCCTGACTCTCAGGCGCTAATGTGCCATCTGTATCTGTGACTTCATTAATTCAATAAGAAATCATCAAGGAAACCATTAACAGACGATCTGCTAAGGTGTACCCACTCGGCATGGTGCTCTTGAGACAGTGGGGTTTTTTGTATTTGATGGCGTTTGTTTGTTTGCTTGTTTGACAAGGTAACACATGTCCATGACACATATTAACCCGGTGGGTTTTCCACTAAGGTTTATTCTGTGGCGTTCTCATAGCCTGCTTAATCATTCACCTCTGCAAGATTGTGAGCCTTTTCAGTTTGGGATTCCCCATTCGGTGTATTCCTAGTGTTTGAGGAAACCAGGAACAGGTTTCCAGAGTTGGTGTTCATTACACTGTTGCCAGCAGGATGAGGGGCCCGATTTCTCTGCATCTTTGCTGTGATCTGCTGCCACTGTTTGTCAGCCTTTCCCCCTTTTAAGAATCGTGGGGGGTCTTACTTTTTAAATTATCATACAAGGTATTAAATATCATCATGGCATTATCGAAGTATGTTTAGTAGTCTCTCTTACCCCCTTGTATCCCTGCCCCCAGTACTCCTAATCCCATCCTTGTAACTCCTCCCCCCGTCTCTGCCTTTTTCATGTCCCCTGTGCCCTTTTACCTACTCCTCGTCTTTTCTGATCACCTGTTTTTGTCATTTATGTCTTGGTCTCTTTTGTAGCATTTGAAGCTTTCCCCACATGTATGCTGGTACACTCCACCACACACACAAACCAGGCTAGGGTCTGCATTGGAAAGAGAACATTGTCTTTTGTCTCTCCAGAGCTATCGATTTTCCTGCAAGCTTCATTGTTTTATATTTTACAACTGAATAAAATCCTATTGTGTGTATGTACCATGTTTTCATTATCTATTCATTTTTCATTTCGGCTGGTTCCCTTTCCTTGCTATTGTGTGTAGCGCGGTAGTACACGTGTGTCTGTAGTAGGATATGCAATCATTTGGATATATAGCTAAGAGTTATACTGGGTCATACAGTACTTCTTTATTCAGATATTTTGAGAAATGTCCATGTTTATTTCCATAATGGCCACACTTGTTTGACTTCCCACCAGGAATGAATAAGGTTTCTTCTTTCTCTGCATCCTATGTGAGAATCTTTTGTGAGGTTGCTTGGTGATAGTCATTCTGACTAGGATGAGATGGTATCTCAGTGGCTTTCATTTGCAATTCCCCAATGACTAAGGACATTGAACACTTTTAAAAATACCTGTTGGCCGTTTGTGTTTCCTCTTTTGAGAACTGTTCTTTTAATAGCCTATTTATTGATTGACAGAGTTTTTTTTTTAATTCTTTAGTTTTCCCTCTGTAAATTCTGATATGAGCCCCCTATTTGAATGTAGCTGTTAAAGATCTTCTCCCGTTCTGCAGGCTGTCTGTTTCCTTGGCTGGTAGCTTCCCTCTGCTGTGCAGAAACTTCAGTTTTACCTCGTTCCCTCTGTTGATTCTTGGAGATGGTTCTTGCACTCTTAGAGGTCTGTTCAGAAGGTCCTCACCTAAGCATTTATCTTGAAACATATTCCCTAAATGTTCCTCTAGCAGTTCCCGTGTTTTAGCTTTTAAATTAAGGCCTTTGATCCACTTTTATCTGGAAGGTTCTACAGGGAGATATCCAGTTTGGCTGTCACCGCTCTTTTGAATAGACTGTCTTTGTTTTCAGCTGCGTATTTTGACACCTTTGTTGGTTTCTTTGTTCTGTTCTGCTGGTCTCCCTGTCTGGTGTGTTTGCTGTATTTGTCTATATCTCTGTAGTGTGATCTGAAGTCATAACCACAATACCTCCAGCCTTGCTTTCCTCCTTAGGCTTGCTGTGGCTCTGTGTGCTCTTCTGTCGTTCCATGTGGACACTCACATTGTTTTTTTTCTCTGTCTAGTTCTTTGAAGAATAACATCAGATTTTGATGTGAGTTGCACTGAATCTGTCAATTACTTTTGATGATGAGACATTTTCATGATACTGATTTCATCACACCAGGATCATGGGATGATCTTTCCATCATGTAGCATTGTCTTGAATGTCTTTTGTAGATATTTTGAAGTTTTCATTGTTGATATTTTTCACCCTTGCTTAGTTCACTCCTAACCATATTGAATGACAAAGTAACATATTTTTCCTAATTTCTTTCTCTATGGTTCTTTGTTAAGGCTACTGATTTTCATATATTTATCTTGTGTCTTACAACTTTACTAAAAGTGTTTATTAAATCCAAGGATTTTATGGTAGATTGTGTATGGTCTTTCAAATATAGCCTCGTGCCTTGTGCAAACAGGGCTAGTTTCCCTCTTCCCTTCCTGGTTTTACTCTTTTCATATCTTTCTCCTGTCTTGCTGCTAAAACTTCCAGCACCACATTGAATCAGAACAGTAAAGTGGGTATCACTGTCTCCTTCCTGATTTTAGAGAAAATGTTCTCTGCTATTGCCTGTTTACTATAATGTTGGTTCTAGGTTTCATTATTTGCCATACATATATATTTTTAATGTCTCCAGGACTTTTTACCTTAAAGGCATGCTGAAGTTAGTCAGATATCTGCATCTTTTAAGGTGATGATATAATTAATCACTGTCCTAAAGTTTACTTATATGTTATACACTTAATGATTTGTATATGTTGAACCACCCCTGCATCCATTGGATGAAGCTCACTTGGTCATGATGTAAGATCTTAATGTGTTCTTAACTTTAAGAGATTTGAATTTCAGAAATTTGAAGTTTTGTATGTAAGTTCCTCAGGGAAATTTCTCTGTAATTTTTTTTCTTTCTTTCTTTTGTTTTTCATGTCTTTGATACCAGCATAAAGATGACTTTGTGGGACTGGTTTGGTGGTGTTCATTCCCTTTCTATTCTGTGGAACAAATAGACTGTTGGAATGGATCTTCCATTGTAATTCCAATGGATAGAATTCAGCAGTGACTCCAGGTTATTCTAGGCTTTTCTTTGTATGGGGACTTTGATTACAGCTTCAATCTCATTACTTGTAATAGGACTATTTAAATTACCTATATCTTCTGTCTTTTAATTTTGATAGATATATCCATATAGAAATTTATTTCTTTTAGATTTTTCTAGCTTTTTAGAGTATATATTCTCAAAGCATTCTTTAATGGATGTTCTGGATTTCACTGGAGTCTGTTTTAATCTCTTTCTCCTTTCTAGTTTGATTAATATGGGTCTCTCCCTCTTCATTTTTGCCACTTTAGCTAGAAGTTTATCAATCTCACTAACTGTTTCAAAGAACCAAGACTTTGATTGACATTGGGTATTGCTCTTTTTAATCCCTTTATTGTTATTTTCTTCCACAGTCTTTATTATTTTCTGCCATCTTTGTGTTTGGGGTTGTCCTCTTGCTCGTCTGGAGCCTTGAGGTGCGTTGTTGTGTTGTTTATTTGAGATGTTTCTCGCTTTTTACCATAAGTGCTCATCACTGTATACAGTGTGGTCTTAGGGCTGACTCCCTTGTCTGTACCCGAAG